ATGTGGCCCATGTGATCAGTTTGGTTAGTTTCCTGTGATTATGGTTTTCGTTCTGTCTGCCCTCTGATGGATAAGGATAGGAAGTTTATGGAAGCTTCCTGACGGGAGAGACTGACTGAGGGGGAAACCACCACTATTACCTACCCCCATACTCTTATAGAGGCCAGCACAGGGCTTACAAAAATCTGCTCTTAATAATGGTTCTCAACTCATTCATTTAATAAATATCAGTGGTGCACATGCTATGTCCCAGGTTCCATTCTAGATCTTGATAGTACTGAAGAGAATAAGACAGGTAAGGTCTCTGCTAATGTGAAGTTTGTATTCTAGGGATGAGAGATAACAGTAAACACACATAAGAAAATAGCAAATCATCATAAGTGCTAAACAAGACTTAAAATAATGAATAGGGAATGGTTCTATGGCTTTTTTAGAAGTGATCAGGGAAAGCCTCTGAAGATGAGCTATGACAGGGATGGGGTTGCATTCCAAGAAAGCAAAGGATGGCACAGAAGGCAAAACAGGAAAAGATGGAGGCAAGCGAAAACCCACTAGAAACCATCAGAAATTACCCTAATCAAGTTAATTATTATTAAATTTTTCATTATTAATAAAGAATATGTGTTGTTATGAGCATGTTCTTGAATTGGAGTTAATGTTATAAATGTAATAAAGAAGTAAAACATTCCAGGAATGTTTAGAAACTTAGAGGCCTTCTTCTTTAGTTTCTCCCACCAAAAACATGCTAAAAAGAGAAGAAAGGTACAGATTAGCTAAATTGAATGACAAGCTTGGTGTTTCAGGAATTGAAATAGCCAGGAAAATAAATGGGGAGTGAAAAGGGAGAAATCTACTAGAGTTGGGCACTATGTTACAAACTTTACACAGTTTCTCTCTCTAATCTTTAATTTCTCAAAACAAAGTAGGTGGTAGTAAGCACATTTTACAGAGGTGAAATTGAATCTTCATATAGTCAAATTGAATCTTCAGTAGTCAATCTAGAAGACAGATTAAACTGCTGCATCACCCAAATAGACCTTTGTTTCTGAATATGCCTCTCACACCATATTTTCCCTGGTGGTGCAGACAGTAAAGTGTCTGCCTGCAATGCAGGAGCCTGGTTTCGGTCCCTGGGTTGGGAAGATCCCCTGGAGAAGGAAATGGCAACCCACTCCAGTATTCTTGCCTGGAAAATCCCATGGATGGAGGAGCCTGGTGGGCTACAGTCCACAGGGTCGCAAAGAGTCGGACACGACTGAGCGACTTCACTTCACACCCCCCTTTGCTATGATGAGGAATTTTGAGTCAAAGCCAAATTTCAGTTCAACCCATTGTCATTCTTCTGAGTCTCAGTTAAGCAACTCTTTCCTACAGAGTTAGTTAACATTTCCGAGCGGCTATCTGCGATAGTCTTGGTGAATACGAGGGCTGCTGAGGATGCTTGTGCTCCCTGGGGAGGCCAGTTGCAGAAGAGAAGGGGCCTGTGGTAGTTTCAGTGCTAGATAGCAAGTTGCTGGAGAGGACACAGTGCCTGTCGGGTGTAAACACTCTGTCCACAATTGCCAAAACATGGACTGTCAACACCAAGAGCTAGGAGGAAGTACGAAAATTCATGACTTCTGCCCATTCTTTTATTTCAGGAGAGTTTCATTATTTGAATCTCATGCAATAGCTTCAGCTGCAAATAAAGAAGACCAATAATAATACATAATCCTCAGCACTATTCATACTTTCTTTGATAAAATGGTCCATGATCCTTATGATTCCACACTTTTCAATCCACCCTGAAATATCATCTATCCTTTTCAAAGCCCCCAACAATAAATCAGCCATAATGGAAGCTCTTCTTCTTGCTTTTAGTGCATGGTTATATGCTCCAACCTTCATGTCTAAAGTGTTTACCTGGCTTTTTCATAGCTGACTCAGTAGATTGGAACCTTTTAATGCAACCTGCATGGCATGTGGTCACCAAATCTATGTGAAGTCTTGATAATTTTTGTATGATTGATAGCATATCACTTTTCACTAGTGAGGGGAAGCATATCTATTTCCTGCTTGCTTCCTTTTGTAGATGTTAAGTTACTTAATCCATTTACTTTCACAGTTGGGACTTCAAAGGCAGAAATATGAAGGAAAAGAGAAAAGCAAACAGGTTCAACAAATCTGTGCCTGACTTTTAGGCCTAAAAATTTTCTACTACATTATATACTACTTTCCAGGGTTATATTAATAAAACCAAACTTCCTTTTCTGCAAAGTAACCCAGTTAGCGGGGAGAGAAAAATAATCAGTCAAATGCCATCACTATAGAAGGAAATAAAAGCTCCTTTCTTAAAAGCCTATAGCTCCACAGCTTCCCAAAACTATAGTCCCTGCCCATCTTTTAGACATTCATTCAACCCCTCATGGTTCTGTATCAGCTACCATTGTCCTCTATTTGAAACATGTACTTCTGTCTATATTTCAGAACTTGCCCCCAAACCTACCTCTATTTACTATGTCATTTCACTTAAAACAATGTGTGTAAGAGAATTTTTACACTGTAGTGTTACATTGATTCTAGTATTATTACTAAACAGAACTCAAGACCTGGGGAAAAAAAAAAAAAAACTTTCTCAGAGTAGCTTTGTCTACCCATTCTTTGGAGAAGGGAATGGCAACCCACTCCAGTATTCTTGCCTGGAGAATCCCACGGACAGAGGAGCCTGGTGGGCTACAGTCCGAGGAGTTGCAAAGGGTCGGACATGACTGAGCACTGCTGCTACCCATTCTTTGGTTAAATCAACTGATGTTTCCCTTCTCATCTGTGACAAGCACACATGTGTCTCAGCATTTTAGAGATGAGTAAAATGAATAAGAAAGTAACTAATGCCTTAGAAGTTTATAATCTGCTACTTCCAGCCCTACTCTCCCAATCTATTCTGAATCTACTATATTTACCATTTTTTTTGAGGCCCATCATGTGTTTAATTGTTTGTCTTGCTGTTTCTGTTACTAATCATAAATTCCCCAGAATTGTGTCCATACATTACTATTAGCCAAAAAAAAAATCTGGACAGTGTGTTGCTCTAAATCAAAACTATGACCTTTGGATAAGCTATCTCTGAGCTTCATTTTTCTCATTAGAAAAGTGCAAATAACAGTACCTACTATATACAGAAGTGGTTGTTAGAGGTATATGAAATGTTATTTAGTGTACATGTTATTTAGTGTTATTTAGTGACACTTACTTGCCAAAAAAAAAAAAAATAACCTTTCACTAACACCTCTGTTGCCTTTCAGATTATATGTAAATGTGCAAGCCACTACTGGATGCCCTCAAGGAAGATCCCAAACTTGTCTGTCAGCCTACTCTCTTAAGATTCTTCTACACATTCTTTTACTCAAACCATAAGTCCTACCCCCTAAATATACCATAAGGGAAATTAGTAATAACTACCATATTTTTCTCCTTCCAGTTTTTTTGAGATATAATTGATACTGTACAAATTTAAGGTGTATAACATAATGATTTGACTTATATACATCCCAAAATGATTACCACAATAAGTTTGGTATTTATCATCTATCATTTATCACATTTATCATCCCATATAGTTAAAAATATAATACTCATCCTTGTGATGGCTATTCATAGGATATACTGTAACTTTCATATATAATACACAGCAGTGTTATTTATACCACTTGACCACCTTCATCCAGTTTCCCCTCCTGCTAACCAGCTACCTCTGATAACCACAGATATGATTTCTTCTTCTGTGAGTTTGTTTGTTTTTAAAGTATAATTGCCCTACAGCGCTACGTTAGTGTCTGGTACCCAACATAGTCATTCAATATTTCTAAACATTACATGGTGGTAAAATACTATGGAGTCTAGTTACCATCTGTCAATGTACTAAGATATTATTGGCTATATTCTCCACACTGTACAGTTTATGCCCGGGACTCATTTTGCTACTGAAAGCTTGGACCTCTTGTCTCCGTCACCTATTTCTCTCATTCCTCCCACACCCCTCTCCTCTGGCAACCACCTGTTGGCTCTCTGCATCTGTGACTGTTTCTCTTTTGTCATCTTTGTTCATTTGTTCTTTTTTCCTTTAGGTTTCACATATAAGTGAACTCATATGGTAGTTAGCTTTCTCTGTCTGACTTATTTCACTTAGCATAGTACCCTCTAGGTACTCGTGTTGTTAATTAAACATAGTAAGCTCTCAATAAATATCAGTTATTTTTACTCTGAGAATTTCTAGTTATTTTTCTCCTCATTCAGCTCTGCAACATATTTTACAAATGATGATAAAGCTTAATGGCTCCTTCACAGTAACACACAGCAAGTAGCTGAAAAAGATGGAATTTGAAACTAGATTGAAATTCTGGCTTCAAAATCCATACCTTCTCACCATATTATGTATACTGTGCTAATCTCTCCATTTGAAAAATGTCCTTCCTTATGTTTAACTGAAATAACTTTTCCCAGCCCATCTCAGGTGCTACCTCCATCACCAAACCCTCCTTGATCCTCATCCAAATGCAGTATCTCTCTCAAAATTTTCACAGCAGTGTGATGCTCATTCCTACACAGCACTGTTCTCCGGCAGCCTATGTCTAAACCATGGTTTCTTTGACACAAGGGCGAGGGTTTCCCTGAAGCAAAGTACTTTGTGCCAAGTTTACACCCAGTTTCCCCTGAAGCAGAGCACTTTGCACCATGTAGATATTTAATAAAGACACTTAAATTGAACAGAAGGTCATTAAGGTCACATATGGAAAATTCTGTCCAATGCAATCGAGGAATCATTTACTTACTCATGTAGCTCTATGTGAAGTCCTGTAGTTGACGTTGGGTTTAAAGAGGTAAGCAAAGCAAAAATCCTCAAAGAGCTTACAGTTTGATAAAAGTGCTTTGAAACCAGAAATTGTTTTTTAATTTAGGCATTAGAGTGAGATGACATAAACATTTTAGTCATGCAAGTGAATTCTCATTTGTTGTTCACACAGATACAGTCGTCTCCTCCAGCTGCTGTACCAGTTTAGACTACATCGTCACCTACCTCTTCAAGCACGTAGCAAAAGAGGGCAAGAAATCACTTCGATGCCGAGAGGCTACCCAGGCTGGTCAGAGACTATTACATTTTATGCAGCAAAATCCAGAGGTCCTGCAGCAGGTAAATAGTGGTTGTTCACCTAGCTTAAGAGATAAGAGTTTCCCTGAAGCCAATCTGGTCTCTGAATACCTTAGAGCAACTTGTCTTGCCAAGACCCTTTCCTGGTTCTCCTCTAGGAGTATTTTCCCTGTAAGTAGGATAGTTGGCCTCAGGATTACCTGCCCTCAGCAAATCTCTAATTCATGCATCTCACACAGTGAAGCTAGTATTCAGAAAGAGGATAGCACTTTCAGAGAGGAGAGAAATACTGAGTAAAAGTCAGAGCTGGAACTAGCAACCGTCAACCTCTGATTTGTCTCCTGGAACCTCTAATAGCGTCCTCTTAGGCTTGCCTTGTGCATACTCTGGTGTGGTGAGAAACTGCCGTTTGCTGGGCTCCTCGTCTGTGCCAGCTGACCTGCTGGGGCATTTCCCCCATTTTTAGATGAGAAATCAAGATTCAGATGGGTCATATTCCCAAAAACATTTAAATAATAAGTGATAAAGCCAGGTTTGTTAATTTTCAAATGTTTTCTGACTAGCTAATATGAATTAGGTCTAAGTTTAATGTTCTTTGTAAAAACTCACTTCTACAAATCACAGTAACATCATGCATAAAGATAAACATAATATATATGCCAGAAACATTTCAAAGAGAGTAATACCATTTTGCTATGGAGATAGCATCACTATGATATATTCCCATTCTACTAAATTTGGGAAATGATATCTTTATACTGCTTCCAGTTGTGTTATTTTGCCAAACTGTCTCCATAATAGTCTGTGGTTTGCAATTGTAAACACTTGAACATGGTTGTTAGCCAGCAAATAAGTCACCTGCAATCAGCAGAAAATGTCAGTCTGAGTAAATAAATGATGAAAATGAATAAGAAAGCCAAGGAAGAGGTTTTCTTCCTAGCTGTCATTTTTTGCTAATACTTAAATGAAATTATGTAAACTTTATTTGTGGTGATGTTTCAGTTAACCAGTTAATTTCCTGCAAGAAGGTGTGGATGAAGATTTTGTGTAAATAAGCAAAGGGCTGCAACTATTTGGTATGATCCTGAAATTGTTACAAAACATGTTGGTGATTAAACAGGAGGAAGATAACTCATTTACTGAGGACCTTCTATGTACAAGGTACAAGAGCTGTTAAGATCCAAAAGACATAATTTCTCTTTGTAAGTTTTTCCTGCCGGGTGGGAAGGAGAGACCGGTCCCTAACTGTATGCTAACTGATTAGTGTAGTGATGGCAGTAGGAGAGGGCTCTGGGGACGTCTCCTCATTTAGACCCCACAGCAACCGTGAAATGTGGGTGTGTTGTCATCCTCCTTTTACCGCTGAATAAATTGAAGCACAGAGAGATCAACTGGAAAGTGGAATGTGAACCAAGGTCTTTTTGGCTCAAAAACCGAAGTCCTTACAACTTACTTACACCATTTATTCTCAGGGGACTAGTCAGCAGGGATAAGGTCTCAGGTTCAGCCAGAGTGCCCCTTCAGAATACACATTCTGTCAGGACTTGGATGCACCTCTCCTTCTTCACCCATCTGCAGTAGCCACTGGTTCTGCCGGGAGTGTGTCGCGGCACTCAGGGGTTTCATGAGAAGGCTGAGAGCCACAGAATCAAAGCTTGTAGCCGGTGGGGAAAATAAACACCCACGGACTGGCCAGGAGTCAAGACCACCCCCAACCTCACCCTGGCAGGCGACAAGTCCTCCACCTGCCAGTATTCACCGTGATCATCATGTTGTCCCATAAACTTTGGCAGGAACTTTTAAGTGGGTAGAAAATTTTAGCAAAAATCAATAGGCCATGGTCCTGGACAAATGCCATCAGACTGTGCAGAACAAGTAATGTTGTTCTGCAAAGGACAATCATGTTTGTCTTTACTCAGAATTATCATGTGTTTGTTGGTTTAAGTAATTTCTATGTGTTAATAATACTTGGTAATCCTTTACTTTATAGCATTTGACTAAGTAGTGATATATCTTTATTAACAGTGGAATGCATTCTATTTATTTGGAATGTAGGCTCTCAGATAGCATTTTAAATATTAATGACTGGTTTCTCGTAGTCAGCATAAATATGATTTGCATTAGCACTAGGTTATATCATCTTGAGTGCCTCTGATGTCAACTGTTGGGTATAGTAGTATCTGACATCATCTCCTTAGGTCACTGACAACTTTGACCTCTATTCTTATGCACAGTTTCTGTCGTCTCAAAAGCTCTTTTGAATTGATTTGAAATTTTGACTCTTCCCTTTATGAGGCAGTAAAATTGATAATTATTCAGATGGGAACTGAGCACTGAGTGAAAAATCAATTCCACCCGCTCTCTGCTGCGTATAAAATTACTTCTGAGTCGGCTGGACTGAACGGATGGCCAGAGTAAGAGCAGCAGGCAGAAGTAGTGGGAAGAATTAGCTGGACAGAGCTAATAGCCTGAAGGGATAGACTTGGAAAAGAGGGAGTGGGCCAGTTGGGGGTTATTATGAGCAAGGATGGGTCCCATTGATCATCTGTTTACATCAGCTTTCCAAGACCTTATAAATCAACCCTGAAGAGCAGCAAAATCCAAGATTCAGCCTCTTACCAGAGGGAATTTATATTAGATTATTCTCATTTTCACACTCAGATGAAAAGTGAGCCATTGATTATTCATTGGTTGCCCATTAAATGCTGTTTTTATAGATGATTTGCCTATCAGAGAAGGTAATGAACAAGGTTGCTGCTTCATAACTCAGGGTTTCAGTTTTCAAGGCATCTGTGTCGGTTAAGTAATGCCTAACCCTATTAAAAGGAATGGGTTACAAATTGCTTAACAGTGCTGAAAAACTAGACCCTAATGACTAATTGTGCTTAGAGTTTAGAGAGGGTTTGTCAGCTCTTTAAACTAAACTGATGCAATGATACTGCAATTATTTACTAGTTTGAACTGTTTCCCCTCCCCCGCAACCTGGACCTATATTGCTGGAAGCGTAATTACATGAAGAGTGTCAGTTCTAAATTGCAGAAGTTATCTCCTCAAGCTTCCACAGCAAGTGAAGCATGAACCTACCTAAAAGACTTTCTGACACTTATAGGCCTTGCCGTTTGTGTGCAGCTGCTGGGGGAAGGCATTGCAAGCGCATTGCATTTCCCCTGAAAATGTGTTTGTTATGACCTGCTACATGGCTTTAGCTCTTCAGGGTTTTTAAAAAACATTCTCCAAACAAGCTGTCTTCCATATTTTGCAAACAAATCTAAATTTTCAAGCATTTAATTTAGTCCATTATTAGAATAAAGATCTATTATAATTAAGTGAATCTATTTCAAGTAAGAATTATTTTGTAACCAGCATTGCTTTAACTTAACAACTGAGAAAAACCTAGTTTAGGTATATTAGCAAAAAAAGCTCCCCATGCTTTTATGTCATTAGAAAGATAAACTAAAATTTTAAGAACAGGCCAGTAGTAACAGAGATTACACATGGATCTGTTACAATAATTTGGAACATAAGATTTTTGTGTGAAGTGTTTTCAGTTTTATCCCTGGTCATGTTAAGTATTTGCATATATAATTCATAGATCAGCGTTCATTTAGTTATATCACAAAGTGAAAGATCTATCCAAATTAGGTAAATGAAAGAGCATGTTTTATACAAATTAGAGAGGCATTTCAAAGATGTGACTCATTCTCGTTCAGATTATAAGAATAGGACACTGATGTTGAATGCTTCTCTAAATGAGAACTTCTGTTAAAACTAAATATTCTAGAAAGATTAGCAACTTACATAGAAATAGAACAAGAATTATACAGTGGTCAGTATTACTGATTTGATTATACCATTAACTTATTAGCAGTGTATTTTTAGCAATTATGTTCTCTAAAATTTAAATATGCTGAATGGAGTAATTAGAACATTTAGGTTTGAACTTATCTTAACCCCTTCTGTTTAGCTATCGACTCAAGTGAGCTGCACTAAAAACCAGAAAAAGTTCTAATTATCATCCTTTCTCTCTTACCCTCCTTCCCCCTTTGTGCTAACTTAGCATTTAACTACAACTTGTGAAGAGCTGTCAGGAGTTATAAGAATCATACTTCAGATACTTCAGTAGGGACGTAAGCTGGAGAGAACAGTCACCCTATTCCTCAGTCAATCAATGAAAATTGCTTTTGTATAGTGCTCTTCATGACATGCATCCCAAAGTGAATTATAGCAAAAGGGAAATCATCTGCTCTTTTTTCATTTCTGTGTTTAGATTGAAATGATATTGCTCAACATTTTGACATACTATACAAGACATCTTTCATACATAAGATTCCATTCCATAATACTAAGTAGGAGAAAGTGCAGTCACATATTTAACTGATGTTGAGATTTGGGCCTACAGAACCTCAGCAAGACTCTCACAATGGGAAATACTTTAGCAGATGAAATATATTCATGTCTCTTATGCTCTTAAAAAATTAACCAAATTTCTAATGTTATTATAGACATTTCCAGTGAATCCTGATTAGAAAGTATGTTCATGGCCCACTAGCTCAGTCTGGTTAATTTGCAGCTATTACCAAAAATATGACAGCAGATTGATGTCAAAAACACATGCAAAAAGAATATTTACAACTGGATCAGAGGATAACATGGATTGCAGCACATGCTGCTGCAATCATGGTCTTCTTCACAGCAATATATGTATGCACTTTGTATTTATTTCAAGCAAAATAATAATACTGGCAAAATATTCTAGGCAAGCTTAAGCTTTTTACATATAAGCATTTAGTCTGATTTCATCACCACAGTATCTGTGAACCTGTCATATTATGAGCACCATTTTACAGATAACTAAGGCATAAAAAGATTAAGTAATTTCCTAAGTTACTAGTAGTCAATAAGATCATGTAGTCAATAAATGGAAAAACTAAAATTGTACCCTGATGTATTTCATTCAGAGTTCACACACAGCTTAACCACAAAGCTATAGTTTGTTGGTGGCTGCTAACTTGAAGTAATTGTGTTTTAAGCATTTACAGTGA